ATACAATACTATACCACAATATGCTATACAGTACTATACCACAATATGCTATACAGTACTATACCACAATATGCTATACAATACTATACCACAATATGCTATACAATACTATACCACAATATGCTATACAATACTATACCACAATATGCTATACAATACTATACCACAATATGCTATCGAAGTGTTTCTCAATATGTCATTATTATGTTGAGTTTCTCCTGTTATTATTATTTTTTATTGAAAGTTAACACTTGGTCACCCAACTCATTTTCATTCTGACTTTCAGATTCAACTGCTTCATTAAGTCCCCAGCCAACAAGACTTCAGAGGAAGACTTGCAGTATGCCTATCAACATATCCAGTCTTGTTCACCAGAATTAACAGGTGCAGACATACCTTGACTAGGAAACAACAATCAGGGGCCATGAATTAAAATGCTAGGAAGAATTTTGAAGATGTAAAATTCCATCACACTATTTTAATAATTCATGTTAGAAGTTTTAAATATATATGAAGTATTTTTTTTATCATCTCTTATAATTCACTTATCTTTAGTAGCTGTCCTCTGTTAGTTGGTCATGGTATATACCAACGTATATACGTACGGGTGTCCCCCACATCATGAAAACTCGGGTTGTGGATATTTGCACATCCGAAATTTGTAAATTATGGCCACTGAGTTTGGTGATACGGCATGTAAATTTGGCCATACGGAAATGGGTAAATTTTCAAAAATTTTAACACAAAAATCAGGATATAGAAAAATGAAATAAAAATTGCAGTCTTAATTGTCTCTCTTATTATTGACAACACAACATATACAGGTTGACAATCCTTTATCCGAAATCCTTGGGGCCAGAGGCATTTCGGTTTTCGGAATTTTTCGGTTTTCAGAATGGTTAGTTGTTTTTTGTTTTTTGTTTTTTTTAATGTGTATTAGCCCACCCGGGCATAGATCACTGACCCACATTGGGGCCTGGGGGTCTAAAATATAATAAAAATTATAACAATAATAATAATAATAATTCATAGGTCTAGGTCGTGTTTCTCACTTTTGATCTTTTTTTCATTCTTGTATTTCTTTCCTGTATTATTATTTTATTATTACAGTATTATTGTTATTATTATTATTATTATTATTTTTATTATTATATTTTATTATTATTATTATTATTATTATTTTTATTATTATATTTTATTATTATTATTATTATTATTATTATTATTATTATTGTCATCATTATTATTCTATTTTGGTGTATTTTTATTAAAAATTTTATTTACTATGAATAATTATTATAATTATAATTATTATTACTATTCCATTTTTGCCCCCCAGGCCCCGATGTGGGTCAGTGATCTGTGCCTGGCTGGGCTAATAATCCCTGTTAAAAAAAATAAAAAAAAAAATAAAAAATAAGCCCCACAAAGAACTTTCGGTTTTTAGAGCTTTTCGGTTTTCGGAATTTCGGATAAAGGGTTGTCAACCTGTATAACTTTTCTCACTATTGATCTGTTTTATTCTTTCTATTCTTTTATTTTCTTATGATATCAGTTGACAATAATATTAAAGCAGGGCCTTCTCAGATGGGTCCCGCTGATCGGGAAGGTTGTGGACCCCAGGTCCAACCTGACCATTGTCAATCTACTGGGGCCTCAACCGATGTCACTGTGGTTGCTGGAGGATCAGCTTTTTTCACAGTTCATTTTTCAAACATTCGCCGCCTGATATTCAATTTTTCTTCTGTGGAGCTCCATCTATATTAACCTCTTCCCCCGATCTTTTATCACTGTCTGAACTTCAACTAACCAAAGCGGCTTCACCCAAACCTTTTCAAGTCTCCAACTACAACCTTTATACCTAAGGGAGGTGTATGCGCCTACTGCAACACACATATACCTTTAGCTCGACTCACGGATCTTGAATCTTCTCTTTATGATGTCATCTGGCTCAAAATATCTCTACCAACTATGACTTCTTTTCTTTGTTTCCTATACTGTTCTCCCAACTCTACCAACTATTTGGAACTCTTTGACTATCTCACTTCTTGCCATGAGTCGTTGCTATCCACACACCCCAACACCGAAGTCCTCTACCTAGGGGATTTCAATGTACATCACAGTGAGTGGCTTGGCTCTGCAAGGGATGACCCAGGTGGAGCTGAGGCACTCTCTTTTTCCTTACTTAATGATCTGGAACAAATAATCAAATATCTTACACGCATTCCAGATCGACACAATCAACATGCTAAGATTCTTGATCTTTGTTTTACCTCTAAACCCTCACACTATTCATACTTAATTTCTGCCTTCTTAGGGTCTTCTGATCATGATCTTATTTCTGTTAAATCACACTGGGCATGACCACCTCCCCCACCTCCCTTTAAATGCCAACTGTGGCACTATTGGAGGGCGCTCCGGCAATCCTTGCGAGAATTCTTCTCTGACTTTCCCAACTGTTAGGTAGGATGGAATCAAAGGTATTTCGTCTTATTACTCTCCTCCTTTAGTCGATAATCTCTCTTCCCTTTCTCTTCGCCGCAATGTTGCTTCACTCTCTCTTTAACGGGCAATGTTCGGTGGATTTGGCATCCTGTGTACCGCCGGCAAGGCCGTGGGCTCGTAACACTCATCTTGCCCACGGTGCTTACCATTTCTCTGTGGATGTCGGTCACACTAGAATAACGCGTTACAGTACATCCTTCTTTCCTCATACAGCCAAACTGTGGAATGCTCTGCCTTCTTCTGTGTTTCCATACTCATACAATCTGTTACACTTCAAAAAGATGGTTTTCCAGCATCTTCGTGGTGTAGATTATTGTAATATAATCTTTTTCTTTTCTATTTTTAATTTCTTTTTACTCTTATTTTTTCGCCCCTTAGACCCCGTTGTGGGTCGATGACCTGTGCCCGGTAGGGCTATGCCCTGTAAAAAAAAAATGGCTTGCTATGTCTGCCAATAACTCAGATTGCATCACCTCGCCTCATGCAGTAGTCAACATCGTTTGTGGCGAGTTAAATTCAAGTGTTTTGTGTATTATCATATTATATCTAAGTAATCAATGTACAGTATGTGCTTAAAAATGTGTATTTTCATTCATAAATGTGCTTTTATTATTGTACTTCTTTTTCCCAAAAAGTTTCTTTAGGAATGCATCTCCAATTATATACCGAAAGCCAATGGGAAAATTCAGTCCACGTTACAGAATTTCACGTTACGTTCAACTTTTCAAGGACACATGCCTTCCGTAACCCAAGGGATTACTGTACAGTACTGTCTCAATTATAATATTTTAAAGTTAAATTTAAGTTTCTGCAACCTGAGTTTCCGTAATATTGGGATACCTTCTTGTCAAACCCATTTTGTGATATGTTCACACCATGTCCCTGTCTTGCAATAAACTTCTCCATACATGCTAACTTACAATTAACTTTGCAATGCTCTTACACAAATTACTCAACTGCCATCTCAGTAGTCTCCTTTAAAAGAATAATCCGTTAAGTCATGAGTGATAATATTTGTCCAGGTACCATTTTCTTCAGTGTTTTGGCTCCCAATCAGTAAATTGGTCTGTACATAATTGCACCTCATACTTATATACAGTACAGTACTGTTTATGTATTCACATTGCTACATTACTGTACTTAAAACCATTAACTTTACATTTGGTTAATACAGTAAGCATATTGTGATGAGATTGCTAAATGATTATTTGTCTCATTGATTATAATTGCACACATAAAGCACATACAGAATAAGTTTGTTGTCTTCATTTGTTACACATTGTAAGAATTTCGTTGCAAAAGTTAGCATTGATAGCTTGAACCATTTATTAAGTTAGAAATTAAAAAAATTAATATTTTTACCAGGTCCCCAGAAAGATGCTGGTTCTGGAATGCAGTCAAACCTGAGCTGCACATCGCAGGAAACTAGTGTAAAGAAACTACACATAGCCTATATAGAGAAGTGTTTACAAGAAGGAAAGAAGCCTGTTGGTATTGATGTATACAGGAAAATATTCAACTCTAAGTTCCGTCTCAAACAAGACCTCAGTTAACCCCAGTAAATAAATTTGTAAGTAGATGATAGGCATTTGTTATTCTGTATGTAAGTATTGTAATGGCAAACCATTTTTAGCTTTATTGTCTTTCATTAGGATTAACAGGATTACCGGTAAGTCATGAAGAAAGTGAATACAGTATTTTTATTATATTTTACTTACTAGTAATTACTACTTCACAGTTACTTCAGTTTTGTCAGTTGTTGTCAACTTGAGTTAACTCCTTTACATTCTTTGTTAGAGATATGATTATGGGTTTAGGGTTGCCCTATGTACTGGTAGGTCAATAACAGGAGCACCGTTTACATTTATAACTTTATTTTCAATTGACAATAAAATTTTCAAGAAGACAATATCAAGAACATATGTACAGTCAGCCATAGATGCACTGACCCCACCCTGGATCTCGTGCTGGCAATACTTGGTAAAGGAAGGCTGCATGTAAAGGTGATTGTGATTGGTGGGTAACATTTTTATAATACTCAGTCAGTCAGAACACCGAGATAAGAGAGCCGTGGCTCTGAGGTGAACAAGGAGATTTAGTGCAAGGTATAGTTATGAAGTGGGAAGTACAGAAGAAGAATGATAGCAGGTGGGCTTTCCACCTTGCGTCCCTCAGTCCTCCAGGGGCAAGGGAGGTTAGATGAACTAAGCTAAGCTAGTTTAAAGTGCGATCCAAGGGAATGTGCTGTTTTAGGGTTTGTTGGAGGGTCCCTTCAGGTCCTTGTGTTGCTGAAGGGATGTTCCTCATCTTTTGTAATTGGGGGGGGGGTCCCATCAGGTCCTTGTGTAACTGGCAGGATAGTCCCGATCTTTTAGGTTATATGAGTGGTGTTATTCTCTCGCGTATGATGGTTCCGGGCTGATTCTCTTAATGTTGATGCTTCTTGGCCACCAGCTGTGTGATATATTGTTGTTTGCCTGTAATAGTTCCTGTAAAATAGGGTCTTGTGTTCAGTGTAGTGTGTCCCATACCGCTTTTACTTGTTTGTGTGTTCTTATGTTAATTGTGTCTATGTTATGTTCGATGTGTATGTCTCGTATTTTTTGACTGTATGGCGGCCTTTGTTTTACTGCTCTTCTTAGTGCTGTATTTTGGACTGCTTGCAGCTTGAGTTTGTTTGTTTTAGTTGCATTGAGTTCTGCCTTAAAACCCTCCCAGTTTGCTCTGTTAAAAGAGAATCTAGGGATGGAGGGGATTTGTATTGGTGATAATTATGGGCAGGTGATCGCTAGTGGTGGTTGGTCCAGGTTTCATGTGTGTATTCAAATGGTGGTGTCTATTGGTCAGAACTATATCCGGCTTCACAGTGTTTCCTGCTGTTGTGTAGGTTTCGAAATCTGGGCCCAGGTGTGTGATGTTGCCGTTTTCTAATAAGTCGTGTATTATCTTCCCCCTTGGGTTTCTGGTTCGGTGTCCGAGTATGGTGTGTCTCTCGTTTAAGTCTCCCATAAAATATGCTGGTGTGTTACATCTCATTAGTTTTAGTAAGTCACCAGTCGGGAATGTTAGTCATCGGCAAGGTAAATATGTTGTACCAGTTGCTATTGGGCCTTTAGTTGTATTGATTTCGACTGCGAAGAAGTTGGTTTGGAAGTTGTCTATGAGTTTGTATTTGATGTTTCTTTTGATGGCTATTGCTGCTCCGTGGCTAAATTCTTCGTGTGTGTTCAGTTGATGTGTGTAATAGTTGAAGAGTTTTATTTTGTCACTGTTTTTCCGTCGGTGTGAGTTTATGAGAATTATGTCTGGGTCTATGCTGTTGTATATGTTTGTCAGTTCTGTTTTTCTTGTATGTGTCCAGGCCAGGACGTTGTGTTGTATTATTTTCAGTGTTCTGTTTTGCGTAATCGTGGGTGGCAGGAACTTGGTGCGTGTTGTTTGGTTGCTCGGGTTTCTCCGGTGGAGTGTTTCTGTCTCTCTTCCTTCAGTCCTGTTCTTATTTTTTTTAATTTCGTTAGGTCTACCCTCTAGATTTTATAATGTTTACTGCTTATTCTTCCTCCACGTATTAGTGTTTCTATGAGTCCCTCTTCTACCCTGTTGTCTTTGTATGTGTATTTGGTTGTTCCTTCTTGAATATCTTTTAACAGTCTCTCATTTGTTACTGTTGGCTGGGAGGTGACTGAGTAAAATCTGTTTCCTATGCTGTTTCCGGCGTTGGTTGGCCGTTAACCAGTGGGGATCTCTTTACATGGTTTTACTGATGGTGGCTTCGCTGATTGGTCGGTTGTGTTCTCTAGGGTCTCGTAGTGTGTTGTGTTAGTTGGGAGTGGGTTGTTTCCATTTCAGTCTTTTCTCCTGTGCAATCTTCTTGCTGTGTTATTCTCTCTTCCTTGTCCTTGCTGGTGATTCCTAGACTGTTTTCGGTTTTTATTTTGAAAATGTCTGCTGATGGGGCATCGTCTGGGAAGTTTACCTGTGGTAGGTCGTTCATTGCAAACATTTCTCTGATAGTTTTTCCGAATGTACCCGGTTTAGCCACATTGTTTATGTGGGCATGTATCAGTGTGGCTAGTATGGTGAAGGGTAGACCTTCACTTAGCTTCGAGTAAGTGTTTTCTGCATTGGCTTTATCTTTTCTTTTTTCTAACATTTTAGAAGTGGTGTCTTGCAACTTTGTTATTGCAGCATAGGTGTTGGTTGGGTCAGTTTCTACAGTATATGTTTGTTCGACTTTTCCTTTTCTTTCATGTCTTTAATGATGTCCTTCCTTACTGGGCAGCGTGCTGCCAAAGTACGGTGAGGTCCTTTGCAATTCAGACATTTTGGGTTTTCTTTGCTGTTACACTCCCTGAATGTGTGCCCTTCAGCTCCACATTCCGAGCAGAACTTTTTGTCTTTATTAGGGCAATTGGCTGATACGTGGTTATATTTATAACATGTCCAGCAAGATGTTATGGGATAGAAATTTTCTTTTTCAATTTGGTGTTTTGAAAGGGTAGTGGGAGATGTAAATGTTACACTCCACCCCTGCAGGTATGTGACTCCTTGTAACTTTTAGGTATACACATCAGGCACCTCGTTCGCACACCGCCCTCGGTGGGTAAAGACGAGGGCTTCACCAAGAGACATACCAGTACTATTTCTACGCCTGGTATTATAGGTCGCTCCAAGTGAAGACCGCAGAGTTTCTCACGGTCTCCTTATTTGTTACTACTCATTTGGAGTTGTGTGCTGGAAATCCACAGGTTCACAGTGGATTGGCATAGCTGGGAGTAGTCACCACCTGTTGGGACGCTCATAGGGATAATGGCTGCCGATCAGCAAGGCACTCAGACCGCATGGAACCTGAGGTGACGGTAGAACGGAGGGTACTGAGAAATAATGCCTGACGGGCGGTTATCACACCCCCTAACACATTACTATTGCACTTATATATCGAGCAAAGCTTTAAACTGTAATAACTTCTATATAAGCCTTAATTATAGGGCGGCCGATAGGGCACTGACCTGAGGTGATGGTAGAACGGAGGGTACTGAGGGCAGTGCCCTGCCGCTCGTCACCGCATAGGCCTACAGTTTCCAATCTTTAATTTTTACTTTTATATCTTACGGTTCTCACCTGAACACTTTTCGGTATATTGTCACTCATGCCGTATAAACACATATTTTAATCCTAAATTGCACACTAAGGCAAGGTCTTGGTTTGCTAGTTCGTGGGTAAATTCATAGGGTTATAATATCAACGTGGCACACCCGAGGCAGGTACATGACGCGCCTTGAAACAAAGGCTGAATGATCATGGCGGGGGTGTATCAACTTCACTTAAAACTGTAATGAGGGATCCTCCTCTCACAGACGTAAATAGTATGACCTTCAAACCCTGATCCACACTTAGTCCTACAGTACACTAGTCCGGCTCAACTGGACTTTAACATTCATCTTATGGATACCCTGAGTTCTCCTTAATGCTATGAATACATACAATTAATATGATATAACTGTACCTGGGTACAATACAACACATGGTCAAGTAACATTGAGTAGGTGAGTTATCCTTTATCAATGTTTCCTGTTTTCTGAGATTCTACAAGCGCGGTGGATTTGCATGTTATATAGCGTAATATGAATTAAATGGGGTTTTTAGGAATGACAATGATGTGCACAGTACACTTGTTGATCCTGTAATGTGATGTATTAACTTTAGTGACGACCTGTGGTGTAATGGTTAGCATGCTCACCTCGCAAGTGAGTGGATCTGGGTTTGATTCCCAGATAGAGTGAAACTATGAGCAAATTTCTTTATGCCACTTGCCTCTGTCTACCCAGCAGTAATTGGAAAGCTGGATATTAATCAGTTTGCAGACCGTGTTTTGGGGTAATGGTTTGCCAGTGCAGTGGTGGTGAAACTAATGAAATTTTATTTTTTTACATATTGTAATACAGTATATTATATATTTTAGAAAGCTTTTCATGTATTATTCACCTGGCGTTGATATGTTCTTATGAACTTAATTCATGATAAATTTATTTTAGGCAAGAATTAAAAAATAATGATTTTTCATAAAGTAACAGCAAAAGTAACAGTACAGCACAGCACAGCACAGCACAGCACAGTACAGTACAGTACAGTACAGTACAGCACAACACAGTACAGTACAGCACAGTACAGTACAGCACAACACAGTACAGCACAGCACAGTACAGTACAGTACAGCACAGCATATAGCATAGTATAGCAGTATGTACAGTACAGCATAGTATAGTACAGTACAGCATAGCAGTACAGTACAGCACAACACAGTACAGCACAGTATAGTATAGTATATATATACAGCACAGTACAGTACAGTATAGCATAACACAGTATATATATATAGCATAGTACAGTACAGCACAACACAGTACAGCACAGTACAGTACAGTATAGTACAGCACAGTACAGTACAGCATAGTACAGTACAGTACAGCACAACACAGCACACACATGTACAGCACAGCATAGGCCATGCCAATAGTGCCATTGCACTGTCACAGCACAGGTGCCACAGCATTGCTGTCAGCACAGCACAGCACAGCACAGCACAGCACTGCACTGCCACACACACCAGCATAGCACTGACACCACACAGCACAGCACAGCAACAGCACAGGCACACACAGCACAGCACAGCACAGCACAACACAGCACAGCACTGTTACATGCATTGTTATGAAAGCATCAGCACAGTCCACCAGCACAGTATACACAGCACAGCACATATTGTGCACAGCACAGCACAGCACAGCACAGCACGCCACGTGGTGCCAACAGCACAGCACACACAGCACAAGGCCAGCACAGCACAGCACAGCACACACACACAGCACAGCACAGCACAGCACAGCACAGCACAGCACAAGGCTGGTGCCACAGCACAGCACAGCACAGCACAGCACAGCACAGCACTGTTATGACGCGGAATGTTATTGTTACTGTTATGCACAGCATTGAAGCACAGCACAGCACAGTAAGCCAGTAAAGTAACAGTTACAGCTATCGACAGCACAGCACAGCACAGCAAAGCATGCGCACAGCAGAACAGCACAGCACAGTACAGCACAGCATTGTTAGTTAAGACAGCACTGTATTAAAGCATTAGCACTGCTACAGTACAGCTAATAGCCACTGTTACTAGCACAGTACAGCCACAGTTACAGCACAGCACAGTACATTAATGCGCACAGCACAGCACAGCACAGCACAGCACGTAACAGCATTGTAGCACAGCACAGCATTGTTACTGCACGTATGTACTGTACTGTTAATGCTACACAGCACAGCACAGCACGTAGCACAGCACAGCACTGTTACAGTTAATGTTACGTTAAGCACAGCACACACAGCACAGCACAGCACAGCACAGCACAGCACACACTGCCACACAGCACAGCACACACACACAGCACAGCACAGCACAGCACAGCACAGCGCCACACACACAGCACAGCACAGCACACAGCACAGCACAGCACAGCACACACAGCACAGCACAGCACAGCACAGCACAGCACAGCACAGCACAGCACAGCCACAGCACAGCACAGCACAGCACAGCATAGCACAGCACAGCACACACAGTACACAGCACAATCACGTTACTGCACAGC